GGAAAAGGGCTTATTTTCCGGAGAATCACGTCTAGACTGCTGCTTTTCTCTGGCTTATCCCCAAGCCGGAAAAAAGCGGCAGCCATGTTAATGCAAATATTTAAATCCCCTGCGGATTTTGCTATTCTGATGTGCTACATTAGCATCCCTTTTCCAGAAAGGGGTGCCAATGTAGACACAGCCGATGGGTTTATGAAGGGGATGGTTGGATGAGATAACATGATCTTGGTAACTAATTGACCATTCATTATCAGTGGGAAATAGGTCAATGGAGGGATGATAGGAGTTACTTTAGAGAACTTCCTGGGTGTCTGGCTGGTGAGTCTTGCCCACATGCTCAGGGTTAACTGATCGCCATATTTGGGGTCAGGAAGGAATTTTCCTCCAGGGTAGATTGGCAGAGGCCCTGGAGGTTTTTCGCCTTCCTCTGTAGCATGGGGTACAGATCACAGCTGGAGGATTCTCTGCATCTTGGGGTCTTCAAACTATTTGAAGGCTTCAATATCTGAGATATAGGTGAGAGGATTATTCTAGGAGGGGGTGGGTGAGATTCTGTGGCCTGCATTGTGCAGGGGGTCAGACTAGATGATCATAATGGTCCCTTCTGACCTTAAAGTCTATGAGTCTATGAAATGAGAATAATCTCAGGCTAGATCTCCGGAGGAGCACCTGCATAATCACTTTAAAATGTTTGAAAAGGGATAGTTATAGACATAAATGGCCAGATAAACACCTAAACCCTTCTTGTGCAAAGAGTCCTTTTTCAGTGCAGGACTCTTGCCTTCTGCCTTCTTAAAAATTTGGAATGCAGAAATTTGCCCTGGAAGATCATCTAATCTAGCCAGCTTCTTATATATATATTTTCTTAGCATGTCACATGAACACTCTTTGGACCAACTAGACAAAAAGGAGACAAGGAAAGAGAATTGCTATGGATTAATTACATTTTGAGAACAATCTCTTCACTTTCTCCACACATTTGGAACATTACCTAGGGAGCTCCCTGTAAAATGTAAATAAGCTCCCTTTCAAAAGGAGCAAAGAAAGGGGAAATATGCTTCAAATGGCTGCACGTGCATAAGTGTTTGAATCAATACTCAAATAATTTAAACAGGCCAAATCAACAGTACTCCAGCGGGCATAAGACAACTGATAACCAGCCAGAGGCTATGCACAAATATGAGAATGCCTCTGCAATTAGAGTCCCCCAGAAAGAGGCTGGACTTTGTCAAGTGGCCGAGCCAGAGGGAACAGTCACTACACTAAGAGTAGACAGGGTCAAAGGAGAGTGTGGGAAAGTGAATCAAGAGTTGTTGTAGAACTACATACAGATGGCCACACATTCTGGTGTGGCAGCTTTGTTACAGGGGCCTCTGTAACAAAGCCTCTGAGAATTTTTCTCATTTAAGCCTCCGAGGATTTTAATGCCTCTTCAAAATAGACATCCAGATGTCAGAATGACATTGTGCCCTCTAATAACTCAGCGAACAATCCAACTTGATTTTATAAGAAGGCTTGATGAATAGTAGACTGACAACAAAGATCCATAATGTCACTAAAGATGGACTAGAACAACAGTAATATGCTGTCTTCAGTTTTGTTGAAAAAAATCAGAAGCTAATGGATAAGCCTTTTCTTTACATCCCAAATGGCTGAAGTGCTGTATTGAACCAACATTTCTGGTTGAAGGGGAACACGCAGACACCTCACTGCACAAACTGTTGTTTCTTCTTCTCCAAGTAGCAAACATCCACCTTCTGTCAAAGGAACTCTAAACCCACAGTCATGCATACAATATTGGTTGGTTTTCCCAACTCCTTAGGAAATATCACCTGTCTTATAGGAGGATACATGAATTTATGTCCTTATGAAGCTCAACTGGGCATTTTTATGATTATGCCACTGGTTTCTTCAGACTAGTCAAAAACTTCACACCAGCTGGTGACAAGTAGTAAAGCTGTCTTACTGCTTCTGACATTATCATGTGAGAGAGACATGGTATGACTTTGCTTCCACATAATGTGCATCTATTTGGGCACATCTATTGTGTAAGGAGTACATGTGCAGCATCCAGCCCTGCCACAAACAAAGTTTCAGACGTACGCACATGCACTTGCATTTTTCAGATACAAACACGTGCACACGCTCCATTCAAAGTCCAATCTGTGTCTGGGGGAGCAAGTTTATAGAGCTTGCACCTACAAAACTTCTATTAGTGGCTTATGTTAAATTCCTCAAAGGAAGAGGGTAAAGGACAGGAAGAGTGGAGCAAGCTACCACAATTTGGGAAGGTTATATAGGTACGTTTGAAGGCCCACTTCAATGTATCCTTAGACATAACTCATAAGGTGCTTTAATACAAAGTGACAAAAGGAAGGAACACTGAGACACAGGCTGCACACTGAAGAATTAACTTCTTGCTTTCCCCTTTCAGTCTCCCTGGTCTCAGAGTGGAAACGTGGCTATTCTAAACCCAGGGCAGATTTTCTGGAAGAACTTTCTCTGAAATCAGAAGATGACCTTTCTGGCTGTTATCAGGCTCCATTTTAAGTCACAAGAAAGGAGCTTATAAGTGTGAGTATTTATAAATTCATAGAGCATTATCTGCTGTTAGGAACACGCTACTGCAGCACTGGTAGTAAAGGAGCTTTCCACGAAAGCCTGGGAAACTGCTAAGTACTGGTTGGTTTTTCATGTGGGTTTTTGGAAGGGTTTCTCATTTGCCAGTGACCAGAAGTGAAGTGGAAAGGGCAGTCATCCCCCTTTCTTTAAACCTGGCAGAAAGAGAGGGGAGAGGGAACTCACTGATCAGAGAACTGAAGGACAACTATCCTGCTCAGTCCACTTCATAACTGAGTACAGGCAGTCCCCGGGTTACATGGATCCGACTTACATCAGATCCCTACTTACAAACGGGGTGAGGCAACCCCGCACTAGCTGCTTCCCCCCAGCAGACCAGGGAGACGCGAAGCTAGCGCCGCCCCCAGCAGACCAGGGAGACGCGGAGCGGCTTTTCTCAGCAGACACCTCAGCTTGAGAATAAAGGACTGAGGGAAGTGAGGTGTGGGAGAATAAAACTGAGCTCTGGAGAAATGTTTGGCCAGAGTTTCCCCTACAATATGTACCAGTTCCGACTTACATACAAATTCAACTTAAGAACAAACCTACAGTCCCTATCTTGTACGTAACCCGGGGACTGTCTGTAGTGTATTTACATCTCAAGCCCAGTGTTTCATTCTTTACTCTTTGGGTGGGTTTTCTGAAGGGCTGACTAACATAACGTATTGGAGCTTGCAGTTAAATGACTGTACTTCTGATGTGATCCCTTGAGGCTAAAAATTAAAGTGATATAATGATTTTATCAGCCCCTCTTCGCTGTGCGAGCCCCAAGAGTCTACAGCCTCTATCCCCCCTGCTGCAGCTGCCCTCACAGGGAGGAATTGGGACAGTGCACTCTCCAATGCCTACGTTTCCATGCTCCATCTGGTGAGTCTCAAATAGCCCTATGTAATGTGAAAGCCAAGCTATGAGGCTTCAGCCAGCTGCCACATTTGGGTTTGCTGAGATTTGCTACCAGACCTTACTCAGCTGCAAAATCACAACCATGAATTTAATGTAATTGAAAGGAGCTGAAAAGTTCAGCTATTGAGTCAGCGGCAGAAACAGTTAACAGAGGAAGAAATTAGATTGCGGTGAGTTTGAGGCTAGTGGCTTTGTCACTGCTGCAAATGAACAAATGTTCCCAGTGTGCACATGCCCTACTAAAAATTGGTGTTTAATTGCATTTTTCTACTTTGTGAGCTGTTGCATTAAAATCGGGGGGAGAGGGTGTTTCAATGTGATCTTTCAATGCTTGAGAAAGTGTTGTTTAGAATTAGAAAGCCAAGCACACACAGTGTTGGGAGTTTCCGCATGCACAGCTGTGTAAGAACTTCAGAGCTTGACCAGCAGTACCAACACCTTATTCTAGTCCTGGACCATGCAGCTTAGTCAATGGACATTAACCCACTGGTGCTGGAACAAGGGGTGTTGCAGCACAGCCCTGCTTGAAGTGCTTTCCATCAGACTCAGGTTTGCAGTTTGGATCAGTAACTCTCAGCATCCCCACTATACAGTTGCCTGCGATCACTACCGTTCCGCCACACATACTGTCTGTGCACTGCCCCCACTGTATCCCAGTGCTCAGAAGAAATGCTTTTTGAACTTCCTATTCAAAGTGTGCAAAATAATCAGAAACACCAACTAGTCCCACACAAAGTTATAGAGGGACTGTTCCAGCTTCAAGCAGCTCTGGTTTAGTGCAGAGAATATAGGCTTGCCAGATGCTTTCACCAAAAATCTTGAACATGGCAGGAAAAAAACTTGGTTGAGCAAAAAAAAACCCAACCAACCAACCAACCAATCAACCAAAAAAAAAGGGAGACCAAACTTGTTGAGCCAAAAAAAACCCAAACCAAACTAAACCAAACACCCGCCCCTCCCAATTCTAGGAGCCACCTTTAAGAATCCCTGTGCTTCTCGCTCCCGCCACCCCCACCAGAAATGGTAGGGGAAGAATGTCCCTACTGGCCTTCTGCCAAAAAAACAAACAAAAAAAAACCAACCCAGACATTTTACATGTCTAGTATTTTCTGGGTTTTTTTACCGGACAGGGGCCAGAAATAACGGACTGTCCAGGTAAAAACCAGACACCTGGCAACCCTAAGAGGATAAAGGACATTGAACTGAGACTCAGGTGATTTGGGTTCTATTCCAGCTCTGCTTAAGATTCCCTGCATATCCTTAATTTTCCTCCTCATAAAATAGGGTTAATGATGCTTAAATATCTCAGGAAAGTAATTTCTTCTCAAGAGTGAAGTGCTAATAAAACATTAAGGGAGTTTCCAACATGTGGTAACTAAGACAATGCAATACTTCCTTTCACAATCAGGTAGCCTCTCCAAAAGCACAAGGCTGAATCTGGGCCTCACTGTGTTACATACACTAACCACACCTAGGTTTTATGCACACCTGGACATTGTGCCACTTTAATTAAAATAGAAGGTAGTTATACCAGCAAAACTTAATTAAGCTACACTGATAACTGTGACTATGCTTAGCTTTTAGGGACACAACTGTTGGCAAAAATTCACAGCCCAGCAGATGTAATTATGCCAGTAAAACTTAAAAACATTGATCTGCTCTTGGAAGCTAACTGCTGGAAAGTGAGCTCCATTCTGAAGTGGATTTCCAAAATGATTTGATATATGCTGAGGATCCAGTTGCAAGAGTGCCCAGATACCATTGCAACAATTCTGCTGGCACCTCTTTGGAAGTGCGATGAGAACCAACACAAAGGGGTCTTGCAGTGCATCTCAGGACTGTCTGTAGCCAACTCTGGGGCTGTAATGGGAAGACCCATTAGGATTGGTCCTGCTTTGGGCAAAGGGTTGGACTTGATGACCTCCTGAGGTCTCTTCCAGCTCTGGGTTTCTATGATTCTATGACCCTATGCAAGATGAAGATGGCTTCATAACACTATCTCTACATCCTCTGCTCCTATTGGAACATTGACTCACTTACAATTCTCACGCTCCATCTTCCCTGCCCTGCACTGATCTAAACATCTGTTACTTCAATTTAATGGAGCTTAAATATCTGAAGATTCTTGGGTTTTAATTACCCGATAATAAGGCCCGATAAAAATTTCAGCCAACAGCTGCTGTAAGTGAATATGCCCTTGGAGAGATCCATAATGTGGTACTGGGATGGAAAGATACAGAATGAGTGTAAAACATTGATCTCGATGGTTGCAGTTGCTAGGGGAGCTCACTTAATTACATGGACTCCTACAGTTCTTAGGATCAGCTGGAAAGAAAATGGGGGGGGGGGGCAGGGGAAGATGCTAGGAAATAATCACCATCCATTCACACCCTGGTGTGCCCTTCCCAGCCCCAGCATGAAATTAAGAAAGCTGCAATTCTCAGGATATCATATCACCTACCACCAATACTCTAGTTGCAATAGGGAAACACATTTCTTCTCCTCCCCGCATATTCCTGGGCTACAAGAAGGCTTTGCATTTGTAGAAATGTTGCCCTATGCTTCGAACACTCAAGCAAGGAGTTGATCTGGTAATTCATGAATTCCTCTGAGGAGGAACTTTATTGTTCTAAAGGAAAACAAGTGACCTTAAACCACTGTCTTCCAAATTAAATAGTCTCAGTTTTCCCCAGCGGGCTGGAAGAAATTGATCCAGGATGTTAGAGAATTATTGTACAGCCAATGTCTCTCCAGCTTAAGACACTGGAAATACAATACAGGGGTAATGTGAAGAGTACAAAGTATAAATTCCTTCCCATCCTTCCCCCCCAAAACAAAATGTTACAAGACTACATGTGCAAACAGTGCCATGCCATGATCCACCCCTCTAGAATAGAAAGAGCAGTTCTGAAACTAACATGCTATATACAACTCTGGGCAAATCACTTAACCTTTAAGAGCTTAAGGTTATCCAGGTATAAAATAGGATACTTGCCTCTCCTGGGTATTGTTAAGAAGCTTGTTTCTGAAAGATATATTCATTGTGTGAGGTTTTACCTGTTATGTTATGCAAGGGACAAAAGTCAACAAGCTACCATCAAATTTTAAATTCTCATATTTTAAAATTTTATATATTTTTGTATTTTGTTTGTTTGTTCTTGTAAGCCACCTTGAATATTTTAAGTAGAAGGCGGGGTAAAAATATTTAAATAAAAAATATAAAAAATAAATAGAAAACAAAGTGTTTTTAATTCACACAATCTTTTTGCAAAACTTTTTGCTGTGATTCTGCATTAAGTTTCAACAGAAAAAGTGTTCCAAGTGGCAGTGCGACTGCAGGCTGCACTTTCCCAATCCACAAATCTTTATGTAGGGGAGTAGCAGCTGCTTAAGTCAACAAGGCTTTGCATGGCTGGGTCCATTGTTTAGTTCAAAGTGATTTGAGTAAGTAATGAAGGAAAACTGAAAATTCCTACTACACTTGGGATGGGAAGTGTCTCACATTGGAAAGATGACTCAATTAGCAACCAAATACCTCTGTCATGGTTTGATGTGGCTTTAGATTTCAGGACTATCTAACTTAAGCTTGTTCTCAGTAGTGACGGATGGCAGAACAAGGAGCAATGGTCTCAAGTTGCAGTGGGAGAGGTCTAGGTTGCATATTAGGAAAAACTATTTCACTAGGAGGGTGGTGAAGCACTGGAATGGGTTACCTAAGGCGGGGGGGGAATCTCCATCCCTAGAGGTCTTTAAGTCTCCGCTTGACAAAGCCCTGGCTGGGAGGATTTAGTTGGGATTGGTCCTGCTTTGGACAGAGGGTTGGACTCGATGACCTCATGAGATCTCTTTCAGCCCTATGATTTTAAGACGGCTCCACTTCTGTTTCCTACCTGTAAAAGGGCCTTTGTGAGACTCAATACATTAGTATTTGAAACACGCCCTAAGGATCTCTGCAAGTGCCAAGAACACTCATTTCTGGCTTTGTGAAAATTGCAAAGTGCTTCTCAGGATTCAGTAGTTTGCACAGGTGCATTCTGCCTATATGCAAAAGAAAAGCACAAGTTAAGGGGAAACTCTCTGAGCTGCTTTTCAGCTGAATTGCATTGTTTCTGCAATCCTCCATGGCAGTAGAGGAGCCTTTACAAATATCCAAATGCTACTACAAATCACGTTCCTGATCTGCATACAAGTAAGAAAAGCAATCTACATATATACACATCAGAACTTTCCTTTCATTTGGTTTACAAACAGCAAAACCAGACTTGAGCTCATTCTCCCTCCTTCCCCCACAGCAGGAAGCCCATGCTGGCACTCCAGCTTCACCCTCCCTTCACCTCTCACCATGAGGTTGGAGCGCCAACATCTTCTCTTGGGGGAGGGGGAAGGAGGAAGAAAGCCTTGAGCCTCACTGCACAATCACTCATGGTGAAGAAGCACGCTCCTTCCCCTCCCTCAGCTGGGACAGGCTGCTGGAGGCTTTGCCTGCTGCTCCCATTGGCCAGAATCCAGCCCAAGGACTGGCACAGAAGATGAAGTCAAGTAAGTGCCCCCCTTATGCCCAGAGCCCCATACCCTCATGCCCCCATACTGAGACCCTGCACCCCCCATCTGCTCTGGCACCCTCCCTTGCTCTTGCACCCTCTCCCCTGACCAGACACCCTACCCCCTGCCCACTCCTGCACCCTCCCTCCTGATAAAACATTGCACCTTCTCTTGCTCTTGCCCTTTCTCCCTGGCTAGAAACCCTACTTCCAACCTGCATCATCACTAAGGATGTTACATTTTTGGAGGGTTCTTCTGCTTCTCACTAGTGTGGTCTCCAATTGATTTTTCTGAGAGTCAGTGGCCCCCGATCCATAAACGGTTCTCAACCTCTGCCATAAATAAAGAAAACATGGGAACCTTCTGTGTTGGACATAAATTAATATTTTACTTTATTTAAAATGAAGCTTGATAAACTAACATGAGAAAGTAAAATGCTTGGTCTGTTTAATAATTTAAATTAATAGTTCCTTTCCTATTGGTTAAATTCAATTGTTCTCCCTACCTGCAGCACTAGCAAAATGGCGCAGGTGTAATTATGTAATTAACAGCGAGTTTCCATTAGCAACTGGTGGTCCACGGAAAGGTTTGCATTGAACCAGGTAGTCCATGGGCCAAAAAATTTGAGAACCACTGTGTTAAGAAGATGGGAGAATGCTGTGTTGTGGGAGCTTGGGGGCAGAGCAGCAGGGCTGGCAGTACGTTGCCCCCCAGCTACGAGGGGCAGCCCAGGCCCTGCCCCACTGGCCAGAAGCCCCGCCTGCACTCAGCCGCTGCTGGCCTTGCTGAGTGGGTAGAGCATCAGAGGGAGTGGGGAGGCCAAGGTGGCTGTGCTGACTGCCATGATCCCAGAAAGTAATTTCTATAAAACCTTTATTTACTGTATCATTTTTTAGTATGTTATAACAAAATCATTTTACCAAACACTGTGTCGTCTCAAATTTTTCATTAACCTCTCTTATTTCTTATTAACTCCCTCACTGCATGGCTATGTTGAACTCTTTTATATTTAAAAAAATTGCGGTCCACATTTACAAAAAAAGCACACACCCTCCAAAATTCCTGCATATGGGCCTGAACACAAACCCCAGAGTTTCATGCTCTTTAGGGCTAGTTGCATCCTAGAATACTCAAGGAGCTGACAAAGGAGGTATCTGAGCCTTTAGCTCTCATCTTTGAAAAATCATGGAAAACAGGACAGATTCCAGAAGATTCCATCTAGTGCCCATCTATAAAAATAGAAATAAGAGCAACTCAGGAAACTACAAAACAGACAGTTTAACTTCTGTGCCAGGAAAAATAATGGAGCAAATAATTAAGGAATTCATCTGCAAACATCTGGAAGAAAAAAAGGTGATAGATAACAGCCAGCATGGATTTGGAAAGAATAAATCATGTCAAACCAATCTGATCGCTTTCTTTGATAGGATAACAAGTCTTGTGGATAAGGGAGATGCAGTGGACGTGGTACACCTAGACTTTAGTAAGGCATTTGATACGGTCTCGCATTATATTCTTATCAATAAACTAGGCAAATACAACTTAGATGGGGCTACTATAAGGTGGGTGCATAACTGGCTGGATAACCGTACTCAGAGAGTAGTTATTAATGGTTCACAATCCTGCTAAAAGGGGCCAGTGTAGACGTAGCCAGTGAGTGATAGTGGAAATGGGGTTGGTTTAGAAGTTTAAAAAAAGAACAAGTAAAAAATTATTTAGAAAAGTTAGATGTCTGCATGTCACCACAGCCTGATGAAATGCATCCTAGAATACTCAAGGCGCTGATAGAGGAGGTATCTGAGCCTTAAGCTATCATCTTTGAAAATCATGGAAGTTGGGAGACATATTAGAAGACTGAAAAAGGGAAAATATAGTACCCATCTATAAAAAGGGAAATAAGAACAACCCAGTAAATTACAGACCAGTCAGTTTAACTTCTATGCCAGGGAAGATAATGGAGTAAGTAATTAAGAAATTCATCTGCAAACACCTGGAAGATAAGAAGATGATAGATAACAACCAGCATGGATTTGTAAAGAACAAATCATGTCAAACCAATCATAACTTTCTTGGATAGGATAGAAAGTCTTGTGGATAAGGGAGAATTGGTGGATGTGGTATACCTAGACTTTAGTAAAGCATTTGACACGCTCTCGCATAACCTTATCAATAAACTAGAAAATACAACTTAGACGGGGCTACTATAAGATGGGTGCATAACTGGCTGGATAACTATTTTCAGAGAGTAGTTATTAACGGTTCACAATCCTGCTGGAAGGGCATTACAAGTGGGATTCCACAAAGGTCTGTTTTGAGATTGGTTCTGTTATCTTAATCGACGATTTTGATATTGGAATAGAGAGTACGCTTATTAAGTTTGCAGATGATACCAAGCTGGGAGGGGCTGCAACTACTTTGAAGGATAGGTCCATAATTCAAAGTGATCTGGACAAACTGGAGAAATGGTAAGAGATAAATAGGATAAAGTTTAATGAGGGCAAATGCAAAATACTCCATTTAGGAAGGAATCCGCTTCACACATACAGAATGGGAAGAGTCTGTCTACAGAAGGAGTACTGCAGAAAGGGATCTAGGGGTCATAGTGGACAACAAGCTAAATATGAGTCCCCAGCCTCTCTCACTCTGACTGGCTTTGGAACCCATGCCCCTTGTCTAGCGAGTGCTACTTAGTTTATGGCGAAACAGTTCCCTTATTTTAAGAGTGATAAGGGATCTTTCGGAAAAGGCTTTATTTTCCGAAAGATCCACGTCTAGACTGGCTGGCCACTTGAATTTGCTCAAGAGCACTGACGTTCTAATGTAAGAATTCAGTACTTTTTGGGCAAATACTTTGACGCTATGCTCGGAAAAAAGCCCTTTTGCCCAAGAATACTTGTGCAAGAGGGCCAGTGTAGACAGGGAAGAACTGTTTTGCTCAAAAAAGCCCCGATGGTTAAAATGGCGATCGGGGCTTTCTTGCGCAAAATCGTGTCTAGACTGGCCACGGATGCTTTTGCGCAAAAAGCATCCGTGCCAATCTAGACGCGCTTTTGCGGAAATACTTTTAACAGAAAAACTTTTCTGTTAAAAGTATTTCTGCACAATCATGCCAGTCTAGACGCAGCCACAGTGTTTAACAATGACAGGAAGTTTTTCCTAATGTCCAACCTAAGCCTCCCTTGCTGCAGTTTAACCCCATTGCTTCTTGTTCTATGCTCAGAGGCCAAGGAGAACAATTTGCCTCCCTACTCCCTATGACACCCTTTCAGACACTTGAAAACCGCTATCATGTCCCCTCTCAGTCTTCTCCTTTTCAAACTAAACAAGACCAATTCTTTCAGGGTATGTCTACACTGCAAGGTAATTCAAAATAATGGCTGTCTCTGAGGACCCAAAACACACTGATTGCACCTTCTCCTCCTCCTCTCTTGCTGGCTTCATTGTGGGCCAATGGTGCACTTGCACTGAGGCTCTTCTACTGCGAGCTGAACTTATTGAAGAGTTGAAATCATTGTTTACTGAGGGGAGCCTGGTGCCATACTGCTGAATAGCTGAAATCTACTGTGAGCTGAAATCACTGTTGCTGAGCTACTAGCAGAGCAGATTGTGGGACGGCTAACAGAGCAGTTTGCAGGGGAGACTGGTGGACGCAGGTGAGTGGCTGGTGGGGATGACCGATGGGCAGCCGGTGGCACAGCTGCGGGACCTACCAGCTGGTGGCTGGGGAGCGTGGACTGAGGCGGGCTGGCGGAGCAGATACTGCTCCGTGAGACTGCTTGAGTGGCTCACAGGACAGCAGGTGGAGTGTGGCAGAATGATTTGCGTCAATTGCGGCAGCAGAAACCTACAGAGAGGCAGAGCCGCTGGTGGACCGCATAAGGTGTATCAACCCCTGTCCCCTCCCTTGCACCCAGGCTGGGACGGTAAAACCCTGCCAGGTGAACTTTTGAACCCTGGGGCAGCACTGACCCAGGGTAGAGACTTTTGGGGTGTCAGACTTTGGGTGATTTGTGGCTGGGGGGTGGGTCTTTGCTCATGTCTGGTTTTTGAATCTGAGTTGTGGTGTTTTCCCACTTCAATGCTGATGTCAGTTACCGTGTGTTATTAAAGATTTGCTGCTATACCAAGGCTCTGTGCTTGCGAGAGGGGAAGAATTGCCTCTTTGAGGCACCCAGGGGTGTGTGTAAGATTTCCCAGGTCACGGGGTGGGGGCTTGAGCCGGCGTTGTATTATGTTGTTGGGAGGAGACCCCTAGATATTGAACCCGGCCCTTGCTGCAATTAACTTGTCCTGGCAGAAGGGTTACACAGGAAAAAGTTGCGTAGAGAGGTTGTGGAATCTCCATCTCTGGAGATATTTAAGAGCAAGTTAGACAGACATCTATCAGGGATGGTCTAGACAGTGCTTGGTCCTGCCGTGAGGGCAGGGGACTGGACTCGATGACCTCTCGAGGTCTCTTCCAGTTTTAGCGTTCTATGAAATAGAACCTGAGGCAAGGCTGTACACTGAGCATGGCCTGTGGGTAGCTTACAGGGGAAATCTCTTTCCAGCACTGCAGGAAATATAAGCAACCTGAAATGGTCTTTGGTCCCACATTGCTATTAGCCACAGAAATCTGGCACAAATCAAAGTAGCAAGTATGATAACTTAGTACCTCACTGAGGCAGAAACCCACATGCACTGCCACGGTTGATGCATCCCAAATTAAGTTAAATCAGCATGCTTTTTAGAAAAAGTGTGTGCAGAAAGCCACTATGATGGGTTTTGCTGCAAATAGCAACTTTTGGAATATTTTTAGTGACAGTGGTAGGTTTGATCAGTGTGACTGTGTCTCAGTTCTGCTTGATTCCCTCCAAAATATACTTTGTGAATGTTCCACCACAATGTGTTTGGAGAGGTGCCCAACATCAGTTCTGAGGAGCAAACTAGCAGAGTTGCTTATCTGTAAATGGCTGCCATCACTGAGTGCAATGGAACAGCTCCTGTTAGCACAAGGATAGATGGGGATAAAGGTTTTAATGCATACTATACCTTTGGGAGTGGAGAGAGAGCACACCCCACCAGCTCTCCACATCCCCTCTGCTAGGAGAGGATGAGACAATGTGCCAACACAACCTCCCATTAACTGGAAAGCGGTAGAAATGAACCTGCCACTATTTACATATCACCATCCACCTTCATCTCCACAGGGACTGGAGAAATGGAAAGGAGAACAGAACTTGGAGGCAACAATCAAGGTAACAAAAACTTCCCTGAATTCTAGAATCTATTCTTACAAGGGATGTAAAATCCTGGGTAATCAGTCAACTGGTCAAATGATAGGTTAACCTAACATTTAACCTGTTAACCAACTAAGCAGCATCTCACACCACTCCTGCCCCCAAGCCAATGGGGCTCCCACTCCCAGTCCCCAGGCTGAGACAAGATCTTCTGGCTCCCAGTCCCCACACTGCGGCTAGGACTGGCTCAGCCAGCTTCCTGCCACGGCAGTCTCTAGGCCGTCATTGAGGGCCATCTCCCAGCCCCTGCTCTAGGGCTGTCGGTCCCAGCTCCCAGCCACTAAGACCTGGTGGCCAGGGATAAAGCAGCCCTCTGTACATGGCAGGCTGCTGGCAGGGTGCTGCTCCCAGGGAACCAGTTAACCATTATCCAGTAAGCATAACAGGTTAATTGTTCACATCCCTAATTCATACCCCTGTGGCACAGGGCAGCTTGACTCCTGAAGACTGAGGGTAGCCAGCCCTAACTCCTGAAGAGACACACCTACATTGGGTCAGGAGATTCCTTATAAAGAGGTGCAAGAAACTGCTGGATATTAATGACAAGAGAAAGACAACTGGGCTGGGGCTGGTGGCTTTGGGTGGACAGACTAGGAGAAGATCTCCGTGGGTGGCAGAACAACTCGGGCTGAGCATCAGCTTGTGTTATGGTTGTGGACTTCATTTTGGGGATTCTCTGAGGATTGTCTGAACAATTTCTGTTGTTAAACCAGCCTGGATGAAAGGGCTGTTGGCCACAAGAGAGGCTGTGTGAAGTTCTTCTGGATAGAGCCCTGTGCCGATATAAAATATAATTTTTTTATCTACTTCCACATCTGTAGCCGCAAATATACCCGCAGATATCCGTATCAGCAGATGTGGAAACCTGAAGATATAAAGTGGAAATCCACAAATGTGCAGGTTTTCAGATGCAAAATTTGTATCCATATCCACATCTATACCTGCAAAAATGAGCCACAGATATTTGCATCCATCTCCCATGGATATAAAGCAGATATCTGCAGATATGCAGTGCTCTATTTATGGGGCCCTCAAGAGTGGCTAGAAGATGCAGGGTGCCTATAAAGCCAATCCTAGCCACAAGGGAGGCACTCACTAAGTGGGCAACCCACTGCATCTTGCTTCACAGGAAACCCCTTTGCCACGTTCAACAGTACATTTAGGCTGTGTCTAGACTGGCACTTGCTTTTGCGGAAAACCTTGCCAGCTGTCTACACTGGCCGTTTGAATTTCCGCAAGAACACTGACGATCTCATTAAGAAATCAGTGCTTCTTGTGGAAATACTATGCTGCTCCCATTCAGGCAAAAGTCCTTTTGCGCAAAAGGGCCAGTGTAGACAGCTCAGATTTGTTTTGCGCAAAAAAACACCGATGGCAAAAATGGCGATCGGGGCTTTTTTGCACAAAAGCGCATCTAGATAGGCACGGACGCTTTTCCGCAAAAAATGCTAGACGCTCTTTTCCGCAAATGCTTTTAACAGAAAACTTTTCCATTAAAAGCATTTGCGGAAAATCATGCCAGTCTAGACGTAGCCTTAGTCTTTTGTTTTTGGAGGCATACCTGGGGGGTCGACAAATGCCTTTGATGTCGACCCCCGCGCGTCCAGACTACTGCGCTGAGCCGACAAACAGCTGATCAGCTCAGGGCGGTAGCCATGTAAATTTAAATGAAGCGGCGATTGTTTAAATCGCTGCTTCATTTTCCTATGCCGGGTAGTCTAATCTACATGCCTCTGTCGCCAGAAGAATGTAGTCTAGACGTACCCTATGTGCTTACAATTTTTTGGAAGATTCATGCTCAGGTGAAATAAGAATTCCATTTACAATACTCGATGGGCTGGTTTTCACTCAGTCAGAAAAATAACACCATGTGACTAACAAATTTGGCAAAAACATAGGATGGCAAATATATACTTTCTGTGAAATAGAGGCCAGGCAATAATTTTTAGTTTAGCAAAGACACCGATTCTGAAAAAAAACTCCACTGAGAATGGGATCTCTTTGCATACAAATCTGACAGAAAAGGCAAAATTCATCAACTAGTTTTGTTGCATAGAATATGCTCGGACCTACTCCAAGATTGCTATTCAAGTACTTATAATTTTAAAACTCTCCCCCCCACCCTCCAATCATTGGCATTATTCATGAATTGCATGAGTGAAAGCTATCAAGGTCATTCTCTTGCAAACACACTGACAAAGCTGATATTCGCTTTATTTTTATTGTTCATATTTTTTGAGATTTTTACAGAAAATGATTCATATCCATGGTTCCGTGTGCACAAAGACTCGATATAGATCATAACACTAATGCAAGATTGTCTTAGCCATATACCAAAAACAAAAGCAGCAGCTGCTCTGCGTGCTAAGAAAGGAGAAACAGAAAGGCAGAAGCACCAGGGAATAACAGATGCAGCAAAGGAAAAGCAGAGCTACAGAATCTCTCCTCAATCATTTTTAAGGGCCTATTCACAGATCTACGGGTATCAATGGAAAGACTGCATCTGTAGGACTGCCATTGATTTCAGTGGGATGTGGATCATGTAATTCAAGGGAAAAAATAATGATTTACTAGTGAATAAATACTCCTATTTAAGAATCTGATTTAAAATCCATTGATTTGCCACTGCCTTCAGTGAATCTGGGATCAGGCCTTTAAAGAGAAGTACTTTACCATTAACACTGAGATGTGTTAGAAATCACATTGGTTTCAAAAGATGTACAGTTCCAAAATGATGGTTTTATGCAAACAAAATAGTCATTTTTCAGCTTAAACTGTGTCCTAGCAAAAATGTGAACTGTTTTGGAGAGTATGTACAAAAATCCTTCCAGTTGCAGTATATTTATAAAAGCTTCTCCTTCTTCCCCAAAACAACAGTCAAACTGTTGACCTTTGAAGCAAGCCCAGCACAGTAACTAAGCAGTCAAGCTTGGGTAACTTAACAAATAAGTTTTTAAAAATCAAACTCCCAACCAGGTAAAAATGTGAGGGGGAGAATGTTGCATTGTTGGAAATAATTCAGAGGTACTGCATCTGCATGGAGTGGCAACCTTGCAGCTAGAGGATCACAAGAATCAACAAGAATCTAGCTGTTGGAGCAGGAGATGATTTCTCAAATTCAGGCATAAAAATGAAGTGAAAATAGGGCTGAAGTTTACTGACAGCAGAGCCCTTTGTTCCAGGCTAGCAAATTTACAGTACTTTTAGGCCAGCAGTCATTAGTACAGTTTCCCTAGATTACCAATTGTGACCCAAGGAGCACCTGAATGACTAATGGCAGATGGTATACCAGACTATACATCTCATCAGGCCTGAAACATTCATTTGCCACAACTCACCGCTGTCATAATTTGTATCTGACAGATGTTTTGTAAGACGTTTCATGCAAACTGGTAACACTCAGCACTACTCATGACCAGTATGATATTTGAAAAGGCAGAGCATGAAGAATTATAGATTGTGCTGGAAATATGTTCCTCAAATGTAGCCAGTGCCAAATGGTAGCCAGTGCCTAAACACAACGTGCCGTAGACAAAGGACTACTGATTTGCAGGCGCCACTGTCTGTGCAGCGTATATTAAATATGGTGCCAAATAACACCATAACAAGCATATTTACATTGTTTACCTTGAATGTCTTCAAGCGAACAATGACCAAAATTTCAATGGAGGATGGAGACTGCACTGCCAGGACGCCTTTTTGCCTTTTGAAATGGGACAGTTTGTACAAAATCTTCCATTATTATTATAGGGGATGGTAGCATTGCCATAGCTGAGGCTGAGAAGAATTTCCATTTTAATGAGGTGTAAAAGGTATTTGAATTAGAAGATCTGCTGCAAATGCCTACTGTGTTTTATGAACTGCCTGAATATTCTCTGGCAGTCCATGATGATAAAATAAGTCAGTTATGACTATTATATTTGATCTGACTAGAATATTTCTACTTTCTACTGCTTTTTCTTTGTGTCCCTTCTTTGGATGATATCCTTAGATGTAAAATTAAACATAGGTGATTTTTCCAGTCTACCCATAGTAAACTATTTTATTAAAAATTTCAATTCTGTTTATTGTTCAAGATTTGAAAGGTTAATTTTGAATGCTATACTGTTGCATTGTTCTGGAGAAGGTTGATATTGTAACTGATCACAAAGTATAGCCTTTGAGTTACATCAACAACTAATGTTGCTCAAGACAAACTAAGTCCATGTCTACACTACGAGATTAGATCAAATTTATTAATGTCAATGTCTTTCCACCCCATTTTGTTAAATCCAAGGTGTGTATCTGTACTTCGCAAGAGAATTCAACACTATTCAAATAAGTCAAAGTAGTGCGTCCCTGTTTGGGAGGCTACCATCAATTTTGAAAGCGATGCACTGTGGGAAGCTATCGCACAGTGCCTGTGTCCCTTTGTACTCTGGGTTAAACTATGGGTGGAAGCTGGACCAAGACTTTGCAGTGGGTGGTTCTGGGTATATGTTGTCAGAGTACTATGATGCACTCCACCTCTGCTTTATTGTAATAGCCCACCCTGAACTGTAACAGAGGTCACCAAGGATTTGCACAAAAAAGGTGAATTGAAGATGGGGTCAATATTTGCTTTTTGGCATGTATTGGAGACAGAGAGCTGTGCACCTCCTGGAGTGTAAGTGTATGTCTAGACTACCGAGCTTTTCCAGAAGGTATCCCAGAACAGTTCTGCCACGTTCAAGGATCGCATCCACTCTTGCACAAAAAAATGTCAGAAAAGTGGACGCGTTTTGTCAGCATCCCTGTAAACCTTGTTTCATGAGGAAGAAGGGATGTGCCAAAAGAGGGTTTTTTTCTGACATTTGGCCCCGTGTAGACAGACCAAATGTCGGAAAAGCCTCTTTTGGAAGAAAAGCAGAAAAAGATACATAAATTGTGACTCTCAATTTGTGTATCTTTTTCTAACTTTCCTTTGTAGTGTAGACACAGCCTGTGGCTATGTCTAGACTGCAAACTTCTTTCAGAAGCTTTTTTGGAAGAGATCTTCTGGAAAAAAAATTTCAAAAGAGCGTCCACATAGCAAAGTGCTTTTTCAAAAGATAGTGTCCACGCTGATCGAACACTATCTCGCATTTAAGTTGTGATTGGTATGGATGGAGTGGCCATCAGGATACCTGTGTTATTTCCTGGAGGCCTCTTCTTTTGAAAGAACTCCCTCTCCTGCATCCAACACGCCTTGTTCGAAAAAGATTTTTTGGAAAAAAGATTTCTTCCTCGAAGAAAGAGGCTTACCGCTGTCAGAAAACCTCTGTGTTCTTTTGACTTTCTGTTGAAAGAACGCAAGAGCAGTGTGGACGTAAGTATAATTTTTCTGGGAAAATGTCTGTTTTTCCAGAAAAACACTGTATTGTAGACATACCCTTAGTGTCAGAGGCACCATCAAAGCGGCAAAAAATGCTGGAGTCCTTTCCATGTTATTTCTATGCCTTACAGAAGCTGGGTGGGCAAAGTGCATCCTGATGCAACTCTGCCACTAATCAGAGCATTGTTGTGTCAATGTGAGATACACACTTTAGATGGCTCCTTTCAGAAGCAAGGGAAGATCTCTTCCCCTTTTGTAAGCAAACCAGTACAGGTTAGACCTCTCTGATCTGGCATCCTTGGGACCTGACCTGTCCCAAACTTGAGAGCTTACCGAACCAGGGGAGGCCCATGCCGTCCTCTCTACCGCCGGGCTCTGATCCCAGCTGCTGGGCTCTGCTAGCCCCAGCCACTCCTAGCTCCACTCCTGGGGCTGGTCTCTGCTCCCAGGCTCCACTCCTGGCCTCTGGACTCTGTTTCCAGCCACAGGGGTCTGCTCCCAGTCCCATGTCCCAGTTGCTGGGGTCTGCCTCCAGCCTCCAGCTGCCAGGCTCTGCTCCCAGCTGCTGGCTTCTGGCTGCCAACCACTAGCCCCAGCAGACCGGCTCTGCTCCTGGCCACTGGCTTCTGGCCCCCAGCTCTCAGCCCTGATCACAAGACTGCTCCTGGTTGCTGGCTCCTGGCCCACCAGCCACTGGGCTCTACTCCTACCTTCTGGCCCCTGGTCCCAACTTTGCTCTTAGCTGCTGGTCCTCAGCCCTATCCACCAGGTTCCTGCCTTTCAGCTGTGGCCCAGGCCATTGAGTTCCTACCCCAGATGCCACAGGGCTCTACTCCCAACTGCTATCCCAGCTCTCGTCAGGGAATATCTCTGG